CCCCCCCCCCCCCCCCCGTCGTATGTAGCTGAGTAGAAATATTATTGTATGTTACAGTTAACGTGTATCCTGATACAAGACTTATTTTATTAGGATAAATTAAAAAATTTGTTGGAGTGTGCAGAAAAATGAATCGTGCAATGTCGTGAACACATAGATAAAAGATGAAATGAAGTCGTGTGTTAGCTAATTCATAATATTACGAACATACTGTGTCTTCTAAAAGATATTAAATTTTGGTTATAGGAATACCATGATATCAACGGACGAAACTTTTTTTTAATCTTAGCGAAGTACTTAAATACGAGTATGTTATACACAGAAAACAAATTTTACAAAATAGAGAATTTTTTTATTATAATAAAAAAAGATAATTGCTGAAGATTATTTTTTTTATATGATATACCATATATTTATGTATCATGAAAGTAAGTAATTAAAACTCATCTTTAAGGATGGAACATAAAATACGAGCGTACGTTTAATAAGAATAATGTAGAACAAATCTTAAAAACAGATAAGATGTAAGTGCAATGTATAACGTAACAATACTCAATCTATTATATACCAGATGAAATCTGTACAGTTACATTAATTATATTTTTGCGCTTTTTTTGCTAGAAATACTAATAAGCCAGATGGATAAAAAAGAGAAAGCAATTTTATAAATTTGTTGCAAAAAACGTTAACAGAAATATCAGCGAGTATTTAACATAGTTTACAATACTTACCGCTTATTCTTTAAGCAAATTATATTATATATAGAAAGAACGCTTTTAATTTGTATGATAATTATATCTACATTATTGATACATTATTGACGTATGTGATAACAATTAATAAATAAAACTCTATTGTTATCGAACAAGCGTATAGAGCGTGCCTGACTCTTTTTAGGAAATATTTTCATTGATTAAATAAATAAACACATAATATAAAGAATTATAATGCAAGAATTTAATAACAAAATATTATAATATACTTTATTATGTTATGTATAATCAAAATATATTGTTATATATTGTATATTATTAAATATGTGTCGCTAGTATCATCATCAATATCATTATAAAGATATAATTAATATAAATGAAGTAAATGTAGAGAAAATTCTAATTTTTATTATATATCCCCATAACAAACTAGAAAATGAAAGAAAGGAATTTCTATAACACTAACAATAAGAATTTCATATCATGAAATTAATTAAAAAAGCATATTTTCCTCAAAATATTTGGAGGTATAGTTCTTTCAAGAGAAGTTTTTAAGAAGAATACTTTTTCTGAGTCGGGCACGCCTATTGATTATTTATTATAAACTGTATTATGCGTCATTAGTAATAAACCAAATGATCTTTTTAGAACTAGGGTGAAGTATTATAAAGCATTGTTGTTATAGATCACAAACAATCTGTGTCATCGTATACCAATACTCTTGTATCACAAATTAAAGCGTAAACAAATTATATTGTTGTTAACAAAGTACGACAGAGTGTAACGTTGCACCCACCATTAAATGAAAGAAAATAGTATAATTATAATTATAAGTTTGATTATATTTACGAGGTTATTATTCATAAGTATTAAATTTAAATATATGCGACTCATCTCACTATCGTAGCGAGACTGTAGGATTTATTATATAAAGAACAATGTGATGTCCGTACGGTAGTTCATGAGAACAAAGCAAGAAATTCGGACAAAAATAGTTATTTAAACTCGACACAAATCTTGTTTTTTTTTTTAATCAAGGAATGAATGAAGTGTATGATTGAAACAAAATATGTATGATAATTCCTACATGATTAATGTATGTTCGAAGCTTAACAATTTATTTTATTTATACCTTTATTTATACCTTTTCACTTTGTATATTTTCCTCAGTTTCAAACACACGTACGAATTTTCGTTATTACTTTTTAACTGTTTTCGAACAAATCTTTCTTGTATATGTAAAATTAAAAATATGAGGTTTTTTCTTATGAAGTATAATTTCAAAAAGATGATATATTTCATATATTTATCTTAATATATCTGCAATTATATTAATAATTGATTCTTTGTAATCACGCGATAGCTCAAAGAAATTACTACAGTTTGGGATTAGAGAACGCTATTGAAAAATAAAGAAATAAAGGGATAAGCAAAATTAATGAAAAAAACCACAATTACATTTATTTTGAAGATTCTGTAACATTTCCGTTTACATATAGCCGTAAAGACTGTTAATTTTTATACAAGATAAAAATAAAAAAAATTAGGTAACTGTGAGCTTTAACAAAATATTCTATTATGCCAAAATATTCTATTATGCTTAACAAAAAAACGTTTAAAAAATATTATATCACATTAAATCTGCTTAATGTCTTTAATGTACATGTATAATTGACTATAATTGGCTAGTTTGGTAGATATAACGACTAAGATCCCGATACATTCATAGTTTAACAACGAGCATAATTCGTAGGCAGGATCTCGCATATAATTTACAGAGCATACATTTTATAGAGTCTATAAAATATGAGGAAGAGATGAAGGCTATTATTATATAGAAAGATGCATAAACGACCTAAATATTGAATATTTAAATATATTAATAATAATTTTATACGTTTTTCTAATGATTTGATTGTTTCAATATATCCGTCGACGGTATATTATATGCTGCAAGGATACAATGCATTAGACGAATATTATATCGATCCATTGTATTTGATTAATATTTAATTATAATATAATTTTAATGCACTTTGATATGGACATAAAACATAGATGTCCATTCATTCAATCATATACGAATTTATTATAATTTGCGGCTCTTGTGAGAATTACGACAGTTTTAATTAATTATACCTTTTTACCTCCTTTTGTATATAAGCGATTGCGAGATCCTATTTAACATCATTCTTATTGTGATAATAAAGAATAAAAATTTTAAGCAAAAATATAATTACTATCTACAACAATTATTGTCAGTTTTCCCAGAGCATTTAAACGGCACGAATTGGCGATATGGCGATTTCACTTTAATCCCAGCAGCCACTCAGCTACACCGAGATAATAGACGGTTTGTGCAATTCCGAACAACGGCGCTATGACTATCATCCGGCAAGCGCCGCCTTTGAAAAATGCTGTCGGTCCCTCGTTCTTAAATGTTTTCCTATAAATCCAAAATAATTATTATAAAACTCTATACTTTTATTTATAATTTGAGATCTAAACATGCATGAATTCATAGAGTGATGTAATTTCGTATAAATGAGGATGTTTAGTGTAACCTTGTAAAAAAATTCTCTGAGAGAATTTATATAGATTTTCGAAGTATTTTTATTCAAAATTCCAAGTAACATCAAACTGTTTGAAATAAATTATAGTGTAAGTAATGTAAAAAATTCTATAATATAAATTAATAGAAGATTAAATATACCGAATAGGGGAGGCAGCAGCAATGACCTTGACCTCGACATATGTGTCAACGTTGAGTGATATCTTTATAAGAGTTAAGGGGATCCTAAAGCAGGTCTGTATTACCGACAAAATCGTATAATTTTTGTATCGTAAACACTTTTTTTATCATTCACAAATTCGAAAATCCTTTTACAGAATTAAAGTATACGCATTAATACGTATCTGTGAGGTAGAATCTATGCTGAAAACGATAAAAAAATTTCAAAATTGAGTTCTTTACCATTTTTTAGTCCAATATGGCGCTTCAGAGCTGTTACGTCGTTGCACGTCATAACAACATTTGTTTTATATAAAAGCTGCGCAATCTGTACTTAAATGTACTTAAGAAATAGTAGTCCACAGTCACATAGTTTGCATGAACAAACAGCGTCGAGTGCTTAGGATTAGATTTAGATACTTTATCGCGACAAATTTACGATACGAAAATTGACAGATAATGCGACTGCGTGCATCACTGTCTGCGTGAGATATTAGTGTGGTAGTATATAAAAGATACGTCGATGTGTTGTAAAACAGCGACATCTCGCGATTTCGTAGGAGTTCGAGCTTTGCTTAACCCCTTCAGGGGCACATTTTTCCTCTCGGCGAATTTTGATAACTACTAGTGTATAATACGTTTTTGGGGTCGTTAATTACGATTCTGACATCAGAATTTCAAAATTCAAGATGGCGGATCCAATATGGCGGATATTTTTCAAAAATGTGTCTTAAGAAAATGAATAAACTGCTACGCTCTAAATATCATTTTCAAAGTTAGAAGCAAACATAGGTCTTATAGCGAAAAGCGGTAAAAAATACAAAAAATTCAATTTGTTATAACTTTATTTATTGTTGCAATTTTTAGTTAAAATTTCGTATGGAGGTATATTTTGTGATAAATTTTACTTGTGATGCACGAAATCTGAATTAAATTATATTTTTTTACTCGAAACACAATTATATTAGTCAAAAATACCGTAACTATGAAAAATCATTCAAAAAACCTAATTTTTGGCAATTTAAAAAAAAATGTAGCCTATAAAAAATTTTTAATCGAATGTATGTTAAAGTACTGTAATCAAACTATACACGAAAAAATTTTCAGACCTCTAGGTGTCGTCACTTACGAGAATCCGATTTTATTCTAAAAAAAAACGCGTTTTTTCAGATTCATTTGTTTATAACTAATTAAAAAAAAAAAAAACTAATGCAAGTTGCCATGAAAATCTTATAACTTATGTCTCTATGAACCTAAAAAGCCATTGCATGTAAAAAAGCGCCGATAAATAGCTGAGAAACACTCAAAAAACGACACACAAGTAGGTGGGACATATATGTCCCACCGCCCTTGAAGGGGTTAAAGATCTCCTTAACCCTGAGTAATCTTTATATAAGAGAAGGTTTGACCATAACCGTATTTCGATGAAAAAAACTAACGTAACTGAACCTAATCTATTTTTTGGTGTGTGGGATGGTTCTCGTAAAAAGTTGTACATATAAAAAATTGTAAATCCATGCTGAACATTGCTTCGTGAAATTACAAAAAACTTTTCACGCGAAAGGAAATATGATTTGGGTTAGGTTAGTTTTTTCTGTAATAAAAGTAGGGGAGGTCAAACCTACTGCATCCACGCATACATCATAAAACTAGATTTTATATGGAATTATAACTTTTGTTATAGCAGAAATAATATATTATTTTTTAAACTTTTTATTATTAAGTTTTTGACGAATAACGATAACGAGCGACGAGTAAACCTGATGGAGGTTACTTAGGATCGTGACCTTGACAATATTTGTCAAGGTCAAGGTCATCGGGGCTGTCTCCCCTCTAATCGGCATATTTACCAATAAAAGAAAGAGATATCACGAAACTATGTCTATCATAAAATTGAAGTCACGCAAATTATAAGAAAAAAGCTCATTACAATGTTAGTGTGTTAGTAAGCTACTCTGTTTTGCTGAGTATATTATCTATTATTACCTTAGTTTAAAAAAAAACGCAAGATACGAGAATGTACATAAATATATGCGGATGCAATGCTTATTACTGATTGTGGATATTTTGCATTATCAGGAAAAAATGATCAAAGAAATAATATTTTTAGAAAAAAACAATTAAAAAATATAGATTTTCTACGAATACTAATAAAATTTCATGAAAATCCGTGATTTTTAACAATTACAGATTTTCCTTCAGGTAATAAACATCCTGTAAACTTAGCATCTAATAACTTAACAAGAAGAACGTTTAATTCTTAGGAACTCACAGTATGCAGTCTAACACTCCATTGTACGTTGGATCACCTGGTGCTTTTTTAATAACTTGCAGTCTAGTTTTGATTACATCGAATGGGTTTACCATTAATGCAGCCGTTGATCCGGCGGCGCATCCGGCAAGGAATGAACACCAGAATACAGCTATAATAAATAGATAAACATTATTACTATTTAATATATTTTCGCTTAGATTTTATCATGTGATAGCATAATTCTATCGCTACTTACACGAACCATCTTCTCGTTTTGGCCCAAGATTATTCAATCTAGCGAACAGCGGGAAGTAAATGACGGAGAACGTAATATCTCTGAGTGCCGTGGCACCGGTTCCTTGATATAGCCCCAGTATACCTCGTTTCTTAAGTAGATCTACCGTTAACAACCAAGCGGATATCTTTGGCACTACTTTACCCGCTGTAACAGTAATACGTTATGTAATTTATTATTATAAATTACACGGACAAGTGTAATAATTTTAATGTATCTATATACAGCATTTATTTTCACGTTTTAGAGACTTTGTGAGTCGAGTGAATTATACTGATTAATTATATTATATTTCTAATTTTCATTTGTTACTGTCATTATTTTTATAAAGAAGATTAAATTCTATAATTTTATTTTATCTTACAGTATAATACATTACGTTTAGCCTGATATTATATACAAGATGTCTCCTAATTAATTGATACAATGTTCATGTGCAGATAGAATGGATAAATTGAGTCAAAAAGTTCTACACCAATTCGCAATTTTCATAATTTTTTTATTACCTAATAAACAGAATGTCTGAAATCAATGCACAACTTTAAGATATCTTTAAGATTAATAATAAAGAGAAACAGGGTTATGAGCCAATGAATTCGTTAAAATCTTTAATTTTATTCTAATATATTACGAAGAATATCACATAATTTTTGGCGTTTCGTCCCGGCTTCCACTACTGGACTCATCAGTAAGGCATTGTAGTGGAAGCCTACCTTAAACACCTGGGAGAGTTATTCAATCGAGATTCTATATGAAGAGATATACGCGTGTCAAAGCACTTACGAGAATTTGCGAATATCGATAAACCTGATGGCGAGTCGACGTAGTAATATTCTTCGGAATATTTACCTAAAGTAAGAATAACATCCTATTAAGGCTGACGTGTATTTAACGTAGGAAAAAAATGAAAGCACTTTTATTATACAATTTAAGTATTTCCTGTCGATTGAGCGTATGTAGAACTTGATCGGTTCAGCCGTTACTGAGATCTGATCATCTCGACCCCGAAAATTCTCCGTGTCGCGTAAAGGAGGCACGGCAGTGTCGCGCGCTTGGCTTAGCGCCGAGACACTACCGTGTCTCCAGAAATAATTAACCAATATACCAATAGACGTAGTCCCCCAAAATATATCTTTAAGAATTATTTTTTATCTTTAAGTAACATTTTTAAGATATTTTGTAAAGAACTTTGAAAAATACCTTAAATTAAATTGCTTAAAAATAGAGTATAGAAGTCAGTTTGTGTTGCGAATAAATGTTTTGTTCTAATCATTCATTATCAAATTAAATATGTATAAATTTTTCGACTTCAATTAGATCATCTTCAGTATTTTTAAAAATATCGTTTAACATAAATATAAATAAATATTAAAATAAATAAACGGTCTATATCGAGCTAATATGGATTTAATATTGTTCTTCAACTTTATAATGTGAATGAGAACATAAGTGAAAAAACAAAGCGTTGTACGTTTCGGAACTCACAGGTCCTTCAGCGATTTTTACAGATGTTTGTGTCGTTGGATTGATATGATAATTTCTTATAGTGTATGATGATGCGATACAGACACGCCGATATAATAATTATAGTTCGGAATTGATTTTCCTGTTCTCAATGCAAGTGTATTGTAAAAGACATGTGAGACAGGACCATCATTACAAGTTTATTCGATCGAGTTGAACGTAGATGTTACAAACGGTTGTAAAAAAGAACACAACCGTCCACATTGACACGATAAGTACTATTTCAACTCGATCGCCATTGTCTCAACTACTAATTAAAAATGCGACTCTATGTAATTATTTTTGTAACATTGATTATACATCAGATCTTCCTAACAATAAGAAATAATTTATCCATTGACAATAATCAAGAATTATAATTCTATAAAATTTTTACTACAATATGTACGTAATTTATGAATTTATACCAGACTAAGACTCAACATCTTAAAATGCGATGCGTTTTCTGCGGTACGGAAATTCACATTCTTTATATAAATATATTTATCTCTCCGTCCTGTTAAAAATATTATAATTATATATATATTGAAAATGACTTAATTGAGGTCAAAATGTCAAAGTCCTTGATGGTTTTATTCTATTGTTTATTTATTTATTAGTGTGTTTAATATGTATCATTATTAGAGCCCGGATTTTCCGCCAATAGACGTACCAATTCGAGTCGATCGTAGCACGTTCCTATCCCCACTACCACTCGTCATGCCCGAAGCCGTTGCGTGAAGCATCGATAGGGGGAACGCGGCGGTGCGCGGTGGGACAATTAACAAGACAATAAAAGCATCTTCTCCAAGGTCTTGCAAAAACAAAATTCTTTCAAACAGGACTTAAAATTTTTCAAGTACGCACCTATACTTCTTGCGACGTAGAACACAGCTTTTCTCAGTATAAAAATATATTGAGCGAAAAACGAAGAGGCTTCAATTATAAAAATTTAAAAATGTACTTTATTGTGTGTTATTTTTATAGATAAAGAAAGTTATTACAAAATGTCGAAAGTTATTTTGAAAGTATTCGAAATAATGGGGAAAATCTGGAAATAACAGTTTAATGTATCTGCTATATTTTAGTATTTTTCTCGCTTGTATTCCGTTCCTTGTTTCGAGTAACACCGTTGCCACACCTCCGTCGCTCCCCACCATTGATACTACACCGAGCGTCGCAATCTTTAACGACGTGAAAGTGGAGAGAGCTAACTACGATCAACGCGCGATTTTAGAACTTTAATCCGGGCTCTAATCATTATATTTACATCATATAATACACATTACACATTATAATATCATTATATTATATTTACAATTAAAGTGTTATGTAGAGACGTATTATTTGGCTCGTAGCCGTTTCTCATCATTATAATTTTTAATTTGTTAAGCCATATTACGTTTATTATTTATTATTAAATATCTTAAAATTGTCTTACACGACTTATTTGAAAATCTTTAGTAGAGAATTTTTCGACTCAATTTAGTCTACTCTACCTACACACACATGGGTATTGTGTCAATAATTAAGGGACCTTGTATATGTAAATTTACAATTGAAAATATATAGTTGTTCATGGCAATTAATCGACATCACTTAGATATAATAAATAAGAATTGCGCTCAAAATTGAAAATTTATTAAAAATGCAATAATTATAAGAAACTTAGATATATGTAAATAGTCATGCATTAATAATATATCACAATAATATATTTTGCTGGATTCGACAAGAGCTACGAAAGGAGTATCTTGAGAAGTTATTAACTGCTTTTATCACCTTCTTTAGCTGCCATGGCGACTCTGCCAGCGTCTTGCATTTGTATTTTAAGCAGTTCCATTGGAGTGGTAACAATTATTTGACATGCTCCTGCCAAGCCGCCAGCGAGCATTTCACGTTCTATTGGCAATTGTTGTCTGAACAACAGATTAAGAGAGTCCTGAGATCACGGGAGTATTGTAAAAAGTTTCATATGAATAAGGCTAGCATATGAACACGACTGACTTTAAAAAACCAAGGAGAAAAAATGTTTTAAATTTTAGAAAATTGTTTTTTGTTTAAATAGTAGTAACAAATAAGTTTAATTGAGATCAACTTCGCCAATTCAAAACAATAAGTTCGAGCACTAATTCAAAACTGGCCAAAATCGATGTCTCAAAATCGATTTTCAACTATTATCGTCGTTTATCATTATAATTATGCGATTCAATCGTGTATTATTAGATAACTATTTGAATTGATAAAAAAAAAGTTAACTTCTGTAAGGCAACTATGCTGACCGCCTTACTCCTATCACGCAGCTAACTTTCCGATTTTGGTTTATTCCCCGCCGCAAGAGGGAAGGGATGCGTTTACGAGAGCGCGCTTTCGTCTTTTTTTCCGTTGACGACAGTTCTAAATGTTCTCGCGAGCCGGACTGACCGACAGACTGAACTAGTTTATGTTAAACAGACGATTATTAAATAAAGTGTTTTATATACAGTTACGAGTTCACGCATTTTATGAATAAATCCTGACAACATCCTACACTTCTCGAAGTTTTTGTGGATATGTATAAAATGTTTAATTCATTATAGTGTACCAGTTTTGATATAAGGGAGATCATTCAACACTAGTGGCATGATAAGCAATATGTTATAGTACATTGTGTAACATGTGTGGTAAGTTGTCTATTACGCGACACGGGCGCGCGAGCGCACGAGCGAAGCGAGTGCGCTCCCTCGCGCCCGTGTCGCGCAATAGACAATTAGCACATAAGTTGCACATAGATTTTTTCCTGGGGGGTTCGGGGGGGGGCGCAGCCCCCCCAACTAAGAAATTACAATATTAATTATTACACGTTGAAGGACACTTATACAATGGGTGCTTTCCAGCAAGGACAGAATCAGACACTGTGTAACACAGAGAATCGTTTCATCCTCGTTTAACGTAGGCAAACAACAGGGATGCAATGATTCACTGTGTTACACAGTGTCTACTTATGTCGTAGCTGGAAAGCAGCCAATATTAGTTATTACACGTTGAAGGTACTTACAATCTTGGTAAAATGGCCCCGTTCACAAATTTCTGACCTATCGGGACGATATGGCCTGTATCGAAAAGCTGCCACAGGCGACGAGTAACAAAAGTCAAATGAGAACAAAGATGAAAAACAGCGCGACTCGAATGAACACCGGGCGGGCGGGCGCCAGTGTCGACGCAGGTTAGGTTTCTCCGTGTTGTTATTTGTGCTACCACCTTATCACAGCGTTGCGTTATTTTTCATAACGCAACGCTTTTGCGAAATAACTCAATGGCTTGAGTTATTGGCTATTTACCGCACGCAAAAGCGTTGCAGTATAAGGCACATTACGTGCACGCGTGAGGAAAAATATCTTAACGGACCGCAGAGCATCAAAATACATTAGCAAAAAATGTAAAGCAAATTGTTAACTTCATATGCAATTCGCAATTTACATGTAATTTCAATAGCGTGACGTAATACGTGTACTTACTAATAAAAGCTATAAATAGTCGAAATTATTCTGTATATTAGAAAATAGCTTTAAATGAAGCAAATAAGATGAGCTACGATATTTATAATTGTAAAATAAAAAATTAACGATTACACCGCTAGACACAATGTTAACTGTCATTTAATAAATTCTCTTTCTCTCTCCCTTTCTCTTTCTCTATTAGACTACAACTAATTGTAATTTTGTATGGTTTCTGATATGTCATTACTCTTGGATTGTTAAGAAAAAACCATTTTGTAAACAATAAAAAAGGGAAAAGCAAAAATTACCCTGCTCTTGTCGATTGTTTGCGATTTGGTTAACTAGTTATGGTTGCTCGCACCGTTTGCCAGGTCATTTAACTCGGAAAATACATTCAAACATGTAGCTTCAGTTGTCTAAAATTACAGAATAATACACTTCAATATATGTATTTTACAATAACATAAGATTCTGGCATAATAGCGCAAACTGAACTTCATTCTCTCGTTTTTTCCGATCTTTTGAGGTGTACAGAAGAGCCATCGTTTGTTGTCTTAAAATTTAATGATACTTTGATCTATTTAGAAACTAGAGAATTACAATATCTATGAATATGATAAATAATAAATGAAAATAATCAATTTTTATAAAAAAAATTAATTTTAAGAGTATATATATATTATATATGAGGCATTCCATACCAAGTGAGCCACCCAATTTTTGGGCTTTCTCGTCGCAGCGCTCTTTTCGCTTGTCATTAGTGGGCATGAAAGGCAAGTTTAAAAATGAAGTGTAGACGTTTTCTTACAGAAAATTGAACGCTCTTTCATGTAAGAATACTCTTTTTTCGATCAGACAGGTTTACGACAATGTTTATCAGTTTTGAAGTTTTCAAAATGGATGGCGGCACGCCTAAAAGGCCAGTCTCAAATTTCTTTTAAGGGGTAACGCCACTCTAGAATTTTCAAAATAATCAAAAAATTTTTTTTGTTTAAATGATGCCTTAGAGTCTTAAAAATAATGTACACTTGGTCCCGTAGTGCGATAAAATTTTTAAGTACTTATTTCGAAACCGAAACTGCTTTCGCTTGATTAATAAGAAAAGATTCGTGATATTCGTGGCAGAAGGCAAAAGAGGCCAGGGTATTGTTAAAATCGGTCAGAAAAGACGCAGAGTAAGAGAATTTGGAAAGTGAAATGTATAGTGCAGGCATTGCCGACTAGAAGTATACAAAAAAAATTTATACTATTTTAGTACTTAAAACTTTAAACGCGTTTTTCTCGAAACAATATTTTTCAAATTGGCCGGAAACATAACTCGAACAATTTTTGAACGATTTAATTCAAATTTTAACAGTAGCTTTGTAATTAGATTTTACACAGAAGTACGTATAGGCGAGCGGTTTACCCCCGAAAAGTCGCTTAGAAACGACTGTAACCGACTAAACGCAGTACTAGTAGCTGGAAATGATTTTAATCGATTTGTAATATTATTCTGAGTAAAAACATATATGTATACTTTTTTGTTTTGAGTGGGACGTCAATTGTTATAAACATTTTTTTATGTAAAAAAAAAATTTAGTATAAAAAAATCGGCAAAAATTCTACAAGCTAATAGAATAAAAACGAACATTTTTTGTTATATAAACTTTTTTCGAAAAATCTATTGTTTATGAGATAAATGACGATGAAAGTTGAAAAATGCCTATATTGGTGAATTTTTTTCTCAGAAACTAATCATCCGAATTGGATAAATAAAAAATAAAAATATTCGTACAACCTTCATCTGCAATGAGATATTTTTTAAATATGTATCAGTATCGTAATAATCAGTAAAATCGCCGTTTTGGTGACGCACTTCCGTGCGCGCGGAATGGCGCGCAGTACTGCAACGGGCACCGTGAACGGTTTTCGCCCGATCTTTTAATTAGAAAATGCACGAACCGTCTAAACATTGTACTATTTAATGAGTAAATAATAGTAATCAATGTGTTATATTATTCTCAGAAAAACATATAATAGAGAAGTTAATAAATATATATACTACGTATTATAAAATTATATATTAATATTTTTCGTAAAGACAAATATTCATTTTTATTCCACATCATTAAAACGGAATTAGACCATTTTTAAAAAGTTTATATAAAGTCGTACAAACCATATATTTCTTATTGGGTGGTCATTCTTTAAGGAACCCACATAGATATTTAATACCGATTTCCGATTTAAATGGGAAAAACCGCAGTGTAGAAATTCGCGAACGTTCCGCGGCGCGGCGCGTTGCTGCGTGCAATTGACGCGTTAGAACAAGTTCGTGGGGGTGCGTTATATCCTGCAAACGAACATTATTTTGTTGTGCGCCGTTATTGTGTTTGCTCTAAAAAAGTTTTATATAAAAAGTTATTAATAAGTTAAGTACCGTACTTCAAGCTATCAAATTTTGAATAATATTTTGATTGATTGGTAAGTGGTAAGTGCTGTCAGTTCACTCTTTAAATAAATCACAAAATTGTAGCCTGTAAAAATATACAGACTGGATATCAAAATGTATTCAGTCGTATGGATATACAAATCTGTGTATCATTCGATAATGTGCTTTCGTTTTGGTGTATTCAGTCTTTAAAATGATTAAAATAAAATTCTCAAAGATTTTGTTAATACGTTTTTTGAACTTTTATTGATCTGTATAAAATAAAAATTATTTGTTTTTTTACTTGCTTATTTGTATTTTTACAGGTTAGACAATATATATAATTAACTATTTATTTGTAACAAAATTTTATGTTTAATATTGTAATAGCTCCAGAAGATGTGAATATTAAAATCGGAAATGATGAAACGTAGTCTTAATGATGATTCTGCTTGCACGTCAAAGAGAAAAGTTTTAAGATCGAATTTCAATAAATTTGACTGGAAAAATGTATGCTTTATATGTGGGAAACGGAAAATCTCGCAAAGAATTAAATTGAGTATAGTTTCAGAAAATAGCAATGTTAGAAATAACGTTCTCAACGCTGCTATTATAAGAAATGATACAACTGTGCAAGAACGATTAGAAACTCAGGAAAATTTACGCTTAGTTGAAGCACGTTATCATTTATATTGTTATCAAACGTACATTAATCAACGATTACTAAATTCTTTTGGAGCATGTGGAGACACCGAGGTAAGCGAAAATGTAGAGAGTGCATCAAATGAACAAATGGATGAATCAATGTCAAACGATAACATCACATATGACGATGGCAACAGTATTTCTACATTTCACGATGAAGTAACCAGAATTACAGTTGATTTTTATAAAGAAAAATTTGAATCGGGAGAAGTCATTGTTTTATCCGATATTTGTAAAACTTACAGACAAGAAATGAAGGAAAGAGGGAATTGTAATATAGTTCAATCAAGTTGGATAAAATCACAACTGTTAAAAATTTATG